ATCTTGATGGGCCAGTGGTCTGATTCAGTGTAAGGCAGTGTCACAGTACACAGTAAGCAATCTGGAAACTACAGAGGAGGGCGACCAAGAGGATGAGGGGGTTGGAGCACCTTCCCTCTGGGGAAAGGCTGAAGGTCCAGTGGCACCTTTAAGACCAAGTTCTATTCAGGTACAAGCTCTCCCTCCTCTCTGAGGGCAGATCTGCACGTCCCCCCCCCCCCCAATAGCTAGCAATCCAAAACAGTCCAGTGGAGCCTGAGCAGTGGGTGTTGCCTTCTGACACACTTCCGGTGATGTCAGGGGGCGTGGCATATGCAAATAAGGTATGCTAATGAGCTCCTGCACCTCTTTTTGTAGGAAATGACCCCTGCTGTGGAGCCCAGGACCACTTTAAAGACCAACAAAAAAATTTTGGTCACAAGCTTTCGAGAATCAAAAGGGAGCTCTAACTCCCAAAAGCTTGTGCCCTGAAAATCTTGTTGCTCTTTCAGTTGCTAGGAGACTCAAATCTAGCTGTCCGATTGCAGACCGACAGGGCTTCTCTCCGAAACTATTGTCAAGGAAAGGATTGTAAACCTGATGAATCTTCGCTGCCCCTGTAAAGACCTCTGCCTGAGACCCTGGAGAGCCCCTGCCGGTCTGAGTAGACAATACTGACTTTGCTGGACTCAGCAAAAGGCAGTTTCGTATGTTTCATGTGAAATGTCTTGGAGGGCGGAAAAGCAGGTACCGCTTCGGTGGGAAGGCTAACAGCATTCCGTGCGCCTCGGCATCTAGTCATGCCGGCCACATGACCATGGAAAACGTCTTTAGACAGCGCTGGCTCTTCGGCTCGGAAACGGAGATGAGCACCGCGCCCCTAGAGTCGGATTCGACTGGCTTTCAAGCAAGGGAAACCTTGACCTTCACCTAGGGTTGTAGTGGTTTTCCGACCGGTTGCTCCCGGACGCTGAGACCCTGCCTCCTCTTCCTCCTCTCCTCCAGGGTGCTCATCCTGGGCCTGATCGAGCTCTCTTGGAACACCTACCCTTCAACGGTCTACAGCTCAGCCTCCCTCCACCTCTGTCACGGCGTCATCCTCGCGCAGCTCTGGTGCGGCAGTCCAGCGACGGAGGAAGCAAGACGGCCTTCGAAAAAGGCTGAGTGAGGACCGGACGGGAACCGCCTGGGTGCACGCAGAGGCTGCCCCGCGGGCCGGACATTGCTCCGGAAGGGCCGCTGACAGTTGGGTCCCCATCCTTCTTGGAAGTCTCTCGCCCAGAGCTGCCGTGGCCTTCGGGTCCCTAGAGTGTCTGTCTCAACGGGTGGTGGGGAGGAGGATGCAGATTTACAGACTTTCTAGTAGTATTCTGGTGGTGTACCTTCAATAAAGGCCGCTGGGTCTCGGGCGAGGCCTCTCGTCTGCATTTTCGGGGAGACTGCCGCTGAATCTCTGCTTTGAAAGGGGTTTTGTATTGCTGCAGAGGGCCTGACTCGGACGGCCCGGGCTCGCCCGATCTCGCCAGCTCTCAGAAGCTAAGCCCTGGTTAGTGGTTGGATGGGACGCAGCGTTCCCTCTAAGCTGAGTTAATGTGAGCTAGCTCACAGTTTTTTAGCCTCCGGCTCACACGTTTTTGTCTCGGCTCAGGGAGGGCGGCTCCAGAGCAAACTAATTGATGCAGTAGCCCAAACTGCTCGCTCACACCTTTAATGCCCGTAGCTCACAAAGTAGAATTTTTGCTCACAAGACTCCACAGCTTAGAGGGAGCATTGGACGGGAGGCCACTGAGGAATTCCAGGGTTGCTACGCAGAGGCAGGCCATGAGCAACCACCTGTGTTTGTCTCTTGCTTTAAAAACCTTACGGGCTTGCCATAAGTTGCCTGTAACCTGATTGGGGGGGGGGGAGTTACATAAAACTTAAACATAAGAATGTGACCAGCAAAGGGGGAGTGGGATATAAAAACCTACTCTTCTTCTCTGGCTGAATGCTCTGCTGTGTATAGGATCAGGCCCTTTATTCTTATTTTATTAATTGGTCTTTTGTAGTCCACCTTTCTCACTGAGAGGCAAGGGAGAGATGAGCTATAATTCCGGGGAGTCCCCAGGTCCCACCTGGAGGCTGGCATCCCTTCCTCCCACCATAATAATGTCATGCCCAGGGAAATGCTGATCGCCACTTTGGGGGTCAGGATTACAGTGTTCCCTCTAAGCTGAGCTAGTGTGAGCCAGGTCACAGTTTTTTAGCCTCCGGCTCGCACCTCCTTGTCCTAGCTCAGGAAGGGATGGGGCTCCAGAGCAAACTGATTGATGCAAAAGCCAAATCGCTCGCTCTCAGCTTTAATGCCAGCAGCTCACCAAGTCTTAGTTTTGATGTTTTATTATATTTTTATATGTTTTTACTTATGGCTAGACTAATGATCTGGCCTCTGTTAGCCGCCCACTGGGGAGGGCGGGATATAATTGTGAAAAATAAATAAATAAATAAATAAATAATAAGTAGAATTTTTGCTCACAAGACTGCACAGCTTAGAGGGAGCATTGCTTCAGGGCCTGCCATAGTTCTTTCTCTCCACTTCTCCAGCAGATATTTCCTGTCCTCAGGCTCTGTGCATACCCTTCCTATTGACTATAGAATCCTTTTCCCCAAAAAAACCTTCCTTCTGTCATCTTTGAAAACAGAAACCTTTATGCCAGTGAATGGATGCACCCATATTGGATTAACTTGGGTAATACAGGGGTCCCCAGGTGCCAACCACAGGCACCATGGCACAGATAAACACCTTTTCTGGAGACTGACAACTCTTTCTCAAAAGTGGGCAAGGCCAGGTGGCTTCTGATTGGCCACTGGAGATTTGATTGGCTGTGCAGCTTTTTAAAAAAATCAGCAGCTGCCACCACAGCACAAGGACCTTCACTGTCTGACTAAAGGTAAGTTGTGGCAGCCATTTTGTGGCTGCACCCACCACACCGTTTCAGAATTCCCAAAGTGCCTGCAGGCTCAAAAAGGTTGGGGATCCTTCCTGTAACATATTCTAATTATATGGACTTATGTCCACGGGAGCATTTCTGTGGATGGAAGGCTCCACCCTGGGAAGGCCACTTTCTTGCTTTGCGGCTTCTGCTGCATGCAGGGGTCATTTTGGGGCTACAGGGAGGTGAGAAATCTTTGTTCTGCAGAAATGCTCCAGTGGATTCAGCCACAGGTGTAGTGGTTAAGAGCAGCGGACTCTAATCTGGGAGAACCGGGTTTGATTCCCCCACTCGCAGCTGCTAGATGACCTCAGGCAAGCCATAGTTCTGTCAGAGCTGTTCTTGAAAAAGAGCAGTTTCTGTCAGAGCTCTCTCAGCCCCACCTACCTCACAGGGCATCTGTTGTGGGGAGGGGAAGGGAAAGGAGTTTGTAAGCCGCTCTGAGACTCCTTTGGGTAGTGAAGGGCGGGGTATAAATCCAGTCTCTTCTTCTACAGGTAATTTTTTGCTTTGGAGCCGGGAGATGGTTATTTTATGGTTTGCTTGTTTGCTACAAAGTCAACTGTGTGTGTCACTGGGGCCCCAGTCTAAGAAGTAGAAGAGGGTTTCCGCCGCCTTTCGTGGCACCGCCACCAAGTTTATTTAGAAGGTGGGGCCAAATGGGAATCTTGCTAAGCAGGGCGTCTGATTGTCTGTACAGATTAAAATAATGTGGCTTCGGCGGTAGCTGCCGCCACAATATTGGGTTTTCTTTAATCGTTCTTTCCCAGGGTATTTTTAACAGTGACGTGTCTGGTCCCCTGAACCTGGGATTCCTGTGTATGTGGTTGGCTCTGTCTCTTGTGGCAGCCGCTTAGTGGTTGCGCCCGTCACCCTGTCAGAATTCCACAGAGACGCCAATGTTGGATCCGGCCAAAGGCCCATCCAGTCCAACATTCTGTGTCACGCAGTGGCCAAAAATACCAGGTGCCATCAGGAGGTCCACCAGTGGGGCCAGGATACCAGAAGCCCTCCCACTGTTGACCCCCCCCCCCGGCACCAAGAATAGAGCACCACTTGCCCCAGAGCCCCTATCTATACCTTGTGGCTAATAGCCACTGATGGACCTCTGCTCCATATGCTTATCTAGTTCCCTTTTGAAGCCGTCCATGCTTGTAGCCGCCACCACTTCCTGTGGCAGTGAATTCCAAGTGTTAATCACTCTTTGGGTGAAGAAGTACTTCCTCTTATCGGTTCTAACCCGACCGCTCAGCAATTCCATGGAGTGCCCACAAGATCTTGTATTGTGAGAAAGGGAGAAAAGTACCTCTTTCTGTACCTGCTCTTTCCCATGCATAATCTTATAAAGCTCAATCATGTCACCCCTGAGTCGTCGTTTCTCCAAGCTAAAGAGCCCTAAGCGCTTTAACCTTTCCTCATAGGGAAAGTGTTCCAACCCTTTTATCATTCGAGTTGCCCTTTTCTGCACTTTTTCCAAAGCTATAATATCCCTTTTCAGGTGTGGTGACCAGAACTGCACACAGTATTCCAAATGAGGTCTCACCACGGATTTATATAGGGGCATTGTGATATTGGCTGATCTGTTTTCAATACCCTTCCTAATAATCCCCAGCATAGCATTGGCCTTCTTTATCGCAGCCACACACTGTCTCGACATTTTCAGTGAGTTATCTACTACGACTCCAAGATCTCTCTCTCGATCAGTCTCTGCCAGTTCAGACCCCATCAATGTGTATTTATATTTAGGATTTTTGGCTCCAATGTGCATCACCTTGCACTTGGCCACATTGAACCCCCTTTGCCATGTTGACGCCCACTTGCCCATTCTCGACAGATCCCTTTGGAGTGCCTCACAATCCTCCCTGGCTTTCACCACCCTGAAGTCTGGCTTGCTCTGCAGAGGCAGGCGGTGGTGAAAACACCTCTGAACATCTCTTGCCTTGGAAACCATAAGGCACTTCTAACCGCCCGAGCCATCCAGGGCCAGGCTAGGAAATAATGTGCTTGACTCTGCGAGATTCCGAACCCATCCTTTTTTATTGGCACCCGCTCGGCCAAAGCCGCCGCCCCTCCCTTCACACGTTGTTTGGGTCGTAACACAGCATGTTCAGCTTGATGTTCTCGTCCCAGTGGCGGAGGAGCAGGAACAGCTGCCGCGCGGCCCCTTTAAGGGCGGCGACACCCACGCCTTCCGGCAACTGTTGGCTCCGCAACCAGGCGTCGGCCTTGGCCGCCAGCAGCTCCCACTCCACGAAGAACCCGGCGCAGCGGTGCTCCAGCCACGCCAACGCCACCGCCGTGGCCCAGGTCATGCTCTCCAGGTCGCCCTCGTCCGCCTCCAGGCTGAGGCTCGCCACCGAGGCATCGGGCGAGTGGTCGCACCCGTCGGTCTCGGAGCCCCGCCCACTGTCCGCCTGCACCCACACGGCGGAGCTCAGCACCTCCGAGCAGGTGCTCTGGGAGTGCGGCGAGCCCGGCTCCACGCCCCCCTCTTTGCTCGTTCCCGGGACTTCTTCACCGCCGTCGCAGACCGGGGAAGGCGGGTTTGCTGTCGGCTTGGGGCTCCTCTTGGCGATCAGCGCCCAAGGGGACGTGCTGGAGGCCGGGCTGAGGCTGGCGCGGTGGGAGGCGTAGGGGGAGGCCCGGCGCAAGCGGTCCAGGGGTATCTGAACCACCTCCGAGAAGCTCTCGCTCAGCTGGAACATGCCCGGGGCCTGCTGCAGATGCACCTGCCGTGGGGGGCAAAGGTGGGTGTGAGTTGACTGGATTTCTGGGGACAGGAGTCCAGGGGGGGAGGCTGCCGAATCCTTGTGCATCGTCTTAGTGCGGCGTGCGCAGCTGCGCTCACAGACCAGGGGTGGCCAAACCGTGGCTCAGGAGCCACATGCGGCTCTTTCGCACACATCGTGCGGCTCCCGCTACGGTGGCTGGGGGAGCAAAGGGGAGGCATGACTTCCCAACTGGTCTTCCCTTCCCCAGCCAGTGCAGAGAAAGAAAGCAACTTGAACTTTAAACGCATTCTCAAAGCCCCCTCCCCTGCCAGCCGGCTTGGAGAAGGCATTTGTCCAGCCCCGTAGCTAGGGATTTTGGGGGGAGGGGGCCTTGGGGGGGCCCACCAGCTAATTGCGTCAAAGGCTCCAGGGCAAGGGGGGGTCTGCTTGGCGTGCCCTCACAGAGCCCCCACTAGACCCTTCCTCTGAGGCGAGCCAGAATCCCAATGTTAATAGACACCAAAAGGTCTAGGAAAGCTGCCCTGTTCAAAAAAAAAAGGAGAGAGGGGATCAAGTTTCCTCCCTCCCTCCTTCCCTGAGCCAAGGATCTTTTCTGAAGCCTGGCGCAGAAAATCCAGCAGGAGGAGCTAACTGCAGCAATCCGACCAATGTGCGTGTGACTCGGTCAACCACCGGTTGCTGCTGGGTCCTAAAGAGACTCATCTCATCTCAGATGAGCTCAAACGGGAAGATGCCGGGCTCAGATTGATCAGGGGGTGAGGGGGCCGGAGGGAGGGAGGGGAAGCTGAAGAGCGGGGGAGGGGCCCACAAAACAGCGGGGGGGCAGGCCCCACGTTAGCTACGGGCCTACATTTGTCCCTTTAAATTCCTTCTCCAAGCCAAGCTAGCCAGCATAGGGTCTCTCCCCTCCCTCCCCATCTAAAGTTATCAATTTAATGTTAATAAAAAGCAAATCTGCATCTTTTTCAATAAAAACGTCTGTGTAATGTTCGTTCGTGTCTTGTGGCTCTCAAACAGCTGACGTTTATTCTGTGTGGCTCTTACATTAAGCAAGTTTGGCCACCCCTGCCATAGACTCTCAAGTGGCCGACTGACCCCCTTCAGAAGGGGAGCCACGAGTACAGGTGCTGTGGCCAGGTTTGTACATTACCATTGCAGAGCTAGATCAAGACGGGGAGCCGTGTGACTCTGTCCGGCAGTAGGAAAGAGCAAGAGTCCAGTAGCACCTTAAAAGACTAACAAAATTTGTGGCAGGGGAGGAGCTTTCGTGAGTCACGGCCAATGCTCCTTCCAAGCTGTGGAGTCTTGGGAGCAAAAAATTCTACTTTGTGAGCTCCTGGCATTAAAGTTGTGAGCAGGTGATTTGGCGACTGCATCAATTAGTTTGCCCTGGAGCCCTCCTTCCTGAGCCAAGACAAAAACGTGTGAGCCGGAGACTAAGAAACTGAGCTGGCTCACACCAACTCAGCTTACAGGGAACACTGGTCACTGCTCACTTCTTCAGATACAACTAGAATGCGAGTCCATCTGTCTTTGTATCTTGGGAGAGTGGGGTGATTTCAGATGCTGAATGACAATATTAGGCATGATTGGATTAGGTGTGATATAAAAAGGTTTCCCTTGCTTGAAAGCTAGTCGAATCCGACTCTGGGGGGCGGTGCTCATCTCCGTTTCCAAGCCGAAGAGCCAGCACTGTCCGAAGAGCCAGCACTGGTCATGTGGCTGGCATGATTAAACACCGAGGCGCATGGAATGTTGTTACCTTCCCACCGAAGTGGTACCTACTTATCGACTTGCAATTTCTTGCTTTCGAACTGCTAGGTTGTCAGGAGCTGGGGCCAGAGATGGGAGCTCACTCCGTCATGCGCACTCGGGTCTCAAACTGCCGAACTACAGATCTTCCAGTCTGCATCTCAGTGTCTTAACCTCTAAGCCACCGCGGCACTCAAGGTGTTATATGCAAAACTGCAACTGATAAGGAATCTCAAGACAATGTGTCCTCCTGGACTTAATTGAGACCTAGGTTTCCTGTCTCATTACCAATGTGGATTTCTCCACACCCACTATCCCTCTGCATATCACACCTCATCCAGTCACTCCTGCTATTGTCATTCACCTGCCATTGTCACCTGAAATTATTCCACTCTCCAAGATATAAGGACAGATGGGCTCCCATTCTAGCTGCATCTGAAGAAGTGAGTGGTGACTCACGAAAGCTCACACCCTGCCTCAAATTTTGTTAGTCACAGAGATCAAGTGGGTTGTGATGCAATGAATGTGCTCCAGTGGAGCTAACAATGGTGCTGTGGTTATCGTGGCCTTTGGGGGTCCTTACCAGCGGAAGGTAGTCGTGAATGGCACTGTCACATGAGGATGGTTCGCTTGGGGGGGTCAGGCACTGTGGTCGGAGCGCCAAGCCTTGTCCCCGTCGCTGGCCGAGGCTGAATCTGCGGAAATGAAAGCGGCTCTGTTAAATGTCAGTGCGGGAACTGCCTTGCTGGATCGGATGGGTGAGGTTCAAAACAGAGGCCGGCCGGACACCCAACCGAGGTATGAAAGCGATGCAGCCAATCCATCTTCTTCTGGCAAAGACGGCCAAAGGCACAAAGGCAGAACTGCAAATCATCTTCCTTTACTCTGGGTGATGGGCAGCCCTTGACCCATATGCGTGCAGAAGAGAAGAAGAAGAGATTGGGCTTATACCCCGCCCTTCACTACCCAAGGGAGTCAGAGCGGCTTACAGACTCCTTTCCCTTCCCCCTCCCCACAACAGACACTCTGTAAGGTAGGCGGGTCTGAGAGAGTTCTGACAGAAACGGCTCTTTTTCAAGGACAGCTCTTGTCAGAACTATGGCTTGCCCAAGGTCATCCAGCAGGTGCAAGTGGAGGAGTGGGGAATCAAACCCGGTTCTCCCAGATTAGAGTCCGCGCACTTAACCATGACACCAAACTAGCTCTATTCGTCCAGCCTCTTCTTGAAAGCTGGTAGGGAAGGGGACCTCCCCTGGCCACTGGTGTGTGGTGGGAAGGGGGTAGAGTAGAAGAAGAAGGCAGAGTCGAAGGAGAAGAAGAGTTGATTGGATTTATACCCCACCCTTCACTACCCAAAGGTGTCTCAGAGCAGCTTACAAACTCCTTTTCCCTTCCCCTCCCCACAACAGACACCCTGTAAGGTTGGTGGGGCTGAGAGAGCTCTGACAGAAACGGCTCTTTTTCAAGAACAGCTCTTATCAGAACTACGCAAACCAAGGAGAGAGATCACGGGAAGGAAGTGAAACAGGAAACAAACAACCGTGATATATTATGCCACAAAAGTCTCCAAAGACCAGAAATTTCTTTTTCCAGTATTCAGTTTACTGGATGCAATTCAAACGTCATCAACACCAACGGTTCACTGATGGATTTTGAAGAATGTCACTATGAAATACTACCAGTGAGTTTGTTAAATGGATTAATCTTGTATTTCAGCGCTATTCACTTTTGACAAAGTTGTACACGAAACGAGATGATATGCATGATGCGTTGGTGTGGATGGCGTCTGAATCGCATCCGGTATGAATATTGGAAAAATAAATTTCTGGTCTTTGGAGACTTTTGTGGCATAATATATCATAATATATCACGGTTGTTTGTTTCCTGTTCCACTTATCAGAACTACGGCTTGCCCAAGGTCATCCAGCAGCTGCACGTGGAGGAGTGGGGGAATCAAACCCGGTTCTCCCAGATTAGAGCCCGTGCACTTAACCACTACACCAAACTGGCTCCAGACCATTTGGCTTGGCCCATGGGACTGGTTGTCCACCGAACCGAGTCAGGTGAGCCCTTGTGGTACTTGCTGCATCTCGGGGGAGCGGCAGTGTGGGAGGAGGTAGTATGGAGCACCTCCCCTGTAAGGAAAGGCTGAAAAAGAGACGACTAAGGGGGGGGGACATGATCGATGTTCCCTCTAAGCTGTAGAGTCTTGTGAGCAAAAATTCTATTTTGTGAGCTACCGGCATTTAAAGCTGTGAGTGAGCGATTTGGCTTTGTTGTTGTTGTTCAGTCGCACAGTCGAGTCCGACTCTTCGCGACCCCATGGACCAGATCCCGCCAGGCCCTCCGGTCTTCCGCCGTCCTCTGAAGTTGGCTCAATTTCATCTTCATTGCCTCAATAACACAGTCTAATCAGTCTCATCCTTTGCCGTCCCGTCTTCTTTGACCTTCGATCTTTCCCAGCATCAGGGTCTTCTCCAGGGAGTGCTCCCTTCTCATTGGGTGGCCAAAGTATTTGAGCTTCAGTTTCATTATCTGGCCTTCCAGGGAACAGTCAGGGTTGATTTCTTTTAGGATTGACTGATTTGATCTTCTTGCAGTCCAAGGGACTCTCAAGAGTCTTCCCCAGCACCATAGTTCAAAAGAATCTATTCTTCGGCGCTTGGCCTTCCTTATAGCCCAACTCTCGCAGCCATACATGACTACTTGGAATACCATTGCTTTGGCCATGTGGACTTTTGTTGGCAGGGTGATTTGGCTATTGCATAAGTTAGTTTGCTCTGGAGCCACCCTTCCTGAGCTAAGACAAAAAATGTGTGAGCCGGAGGCTAAAAAACAGTGAACTGGCTCACACTAACTCAGCTTAGAGGGAATACTGGACATGATAGAGGTTTATACAATTATGCATGGAGTGGAAAGAGCTGACCAAGAGGAGTTTTCCTCCCTCTCTCCCATATACCAGAACTCGAGGGCACCCAAGGAAGCTGATGGGCAGTAGGTGCAGGATAGACAGAAAGAAATACTACTTTACACAGAGAGTGATTAAAAGGTGGAATTCGCCGCCAGGGGATGTTGTGATGGCCGCAGGAATAAACAGCCTTAAAAGGAGATTAGATAGATTCATGGAGGATAAAGTCTATCAGTGGCTACTGGCCAATGGTGACTGAGGGGGACCTCCACATTCAGAGGCACTTTCCACCACCATCACTGTGCAACACATTACGGTTACTTAGAAGCCCCAATTGCAGATGCTGTTTACTACGGCTAGATCAGCCTCCCAGTTTCTGTTCATCAAACCACCTCTCTCTCATTCTTCTGATCACTTCACAGAAGAAAATACACCAGTTTGGTGTAGTGGTTAAGAGCGCGGACTAATCTTGGAGAACCGGGTTTGATTCCCCACTCCTCCACTTGCAGCTGCTGGTGTGACCTTGGGCCAGTCACAAGTTCTCTCAGAGCTGTTCTCTCAAGAGCAGTTCTCTCAGAGCTCTCTCAGCCCCAACTACCTCACAGGGTGTCTGTTGTGGGGAGGGGAAGGGAAAAGAGTTTGTAAGCCGCTCTGAGACTCCTTTGGGTAGTGAATGGCAGGGTATAAATCCAATCCTCCTCCTCCTTTTCTCTGTTACCCATATATCATATGAACATATGAAGCAGCCTTATACTGAATCAGACCCTCGGTCCATCAAGATCAGTATTGTCTACTCAGACTGGCAGCAGCTCTCCAGGGTCTCAGGCAGAGGTCTTTCACATCACCTACCATCGGAACGCTTTTAAAGGGACCTTGCAGATTGAATCCAAAACATCTCTCTTTTGTTCGTGTAATACAAGTTGGGTTGTGTATCTATTAAAATGTGTGTGTGAAAAAATTTATATTGGGTCTACTTCTAGACCTATTAGAACAAGAAGTACAGAACATAAATCCAAACTGAAGGCTCATAATTTGGACACCCCATTAGCAATCCACTTTAAACAGTTTAATCATTGTCATGATAGCTTTCAATATGTTGTATTAGAAATTGTACAGAGAATTCCTGGGGAAAGGACTGATTTAAGAAGACGCCTCTTACAGAGAGAGATGTTTTGGATTCATCGGTTGAACAGTGTATTTCCAAATGGACTGAATGCAGAAATTGACCTTTTATGTTTTTTGTAAACTATATGATGTTTTTGTAAACTATATGATGTTTTCTTTAAGTGCACTGCCTCCTACTACCCACCACCTGTTAGCAATCTGCAAGGTCCCTTTAATTGCACTCTGGTAGCAATCACCAGAGAGAGACGCCCGGGATCCATTAGAAACATAGCAGCATATTTTGAGCCTGAATGTTAACTGAGATCAGCGTCCTATCTGAATTTAATGTAAGTGACTACTAGGTTGATTAGTTGTAATTTAAAATATCTTGTATGTGTTCATATCAAAGGTAATATTACTATGTTACAGATTCTTAAGACTTGTCGTCTAACATTTATGAAACTGAGAGCTTTGGCACCACTATAATATCTCCTGAAGAAGATCCATTTTTTTGGAAACGTCGTTATGTAATCCGGAGACGACGTTGATTATGTACCTTGGTTCAAGGATTTTCTATTGATTTGTGTATCATGTTGTAGTGCTTAAGATTGCAATACATAAACAGCATTCTTTATATTCAGGGGTCTTGTTGTAGAAAAAGAGCTGCCGGAGCTCATTAGCATAACTCATTAGCATAGCTTATTTGCATATGCCACGCCCCCTGACATCACCGGAAGTGACAGAAGGCCACACCCCCTGACATCACCGGAAGTGTGTCAGAAGGCCCGGCTACTTACCCTCCTGCTTCATCCTCATTCCCAAACAGAATGAGGATCGAAGCAGAGGGCGGGGTAAAGAAGGGGGCGGGGCTTCTCCACGTGACCGCCCCGCCCCCTAGAGGTTCTCTTCCGGAGCTCCGTACCTGAGAGCTCCCCCCCCGACTAGAGCCCTGTTTATAAGTCTTATGACTGTTTGATTGTGGGTCAGACTATCACGACTGTTGGCTTTATACTTGTTTAACTGGTGACTGTGTGAGTCAGGAGGCTGGACTAGATGGACCCTCACTGGTCTGATCCAGCAGGTCGCATATGTTCCTGCGGAAAACCCTGTTGCCAGCATTCTCTGAAGTCTCCCCATCAGAGATCCAAGAACAACCTTCCCATGTATCATTCATAAGATTCCCAGTCAGCTCTGAAAGATTTCAAAGGAGGAGCTGTTCCTCCAGGCCTGTGGTTCAGGGCAGCGATGGTTCCTCCATCTTCGACTGGCCTCCCTTTCTCTTTCCCCTCCCCTATCCTTCATATCAGGCAGACTTTAGGATATCTATCTCCCTCCTGGGGAAAGGAGCACTGAGTTGTGCCCTTTCATATGCCATCTATTCGTTGTTGTTGGTTGTTGGTTGTTTTATTGTATTATGCAATTGTTTTAAAAATTTTACCTTTATGGAACTCGTGGGCACTCCATGAAACTGCAGAGCGGTCGGGTTAGAGTGGATTAAAGGAAGTCCTTCTTCACCCAAAGAGTGATTAACACATGGAATTCACTGCCACAGGAAGTGGTGGCGGCTACAAGCATGGACGGCTTCAAGAGGGAATTAGATAAGCATATGGAGCAGAGGTCCATCAGTGGCTTTTAGCCACAAGGTATAGCTAGGGGCTCTGGGGCAAGGGATGCTCTGTCTTCTTGGTGCTTGGGAGGGTCAACAGTGGGAGGGCTCCTAGTGTCCTGGCCCCACTGCTGGACCTCCTGATGGCACCTGGTATTTTTGGCCACTGTGTGACACAGAGTGTTGGACTGGATGGGCCTTTGGCCTGATCCAACATTGGCGTCTCTTATGTTCTTATGTTCTTATGGAATGTTTTATGAATGCTGTTACCCGTGCTGAGCCCAGTTGTACAGGGGAGGGAGGGCAATAGATGGAATAAGTAAATATAATACATTTACCTGGAGCTTACAAAGTTCTCCACTGACTTCTGGGAGCCCACAGAGACAGGGGAAGGGCTGGGATCAATACCTATGACGGCACGAAAGAGACGTGTTAGGAACCGGGAAATGACAGACAGACTTTGTGAAGAGTGCTACCTTTCCTCAGGGCTTTTTTACAATTGGGGCTTCATTCACAAGGCCACGGTTTGATTCAGAGGAATTCTCCCAAGCAGGGTTGCTAGTGCCGGGTTGGGAAATTCCTGGAGATTTGGGGGTGGAGCTTGGGGAAGGGAGGGGACTTAAGTGTGGTATAATGCTATAAACACATTTTGTCCAGAGGAACTGATCTCTGTTGCCTGGAAATCGGTTATCATTCCAAGAGATCTCCAGGCCCCACCTGGAGATTGGCAGCCCAACCCCCAAGGGAAGTTTTAGCACTTTGCATAGCACCGCTCCCTTCCAAAGTCGGGTAAAAGAAGAAAAAAGTATAATGTCAGCTCGCGGCCATAGCGACTGGTAAGGAGGGGGAAACTGCTTGGAATGTTTTCATTTCATTTCTCTTGCTGTCTTGGTGATATTGAGATATATGCCAGAGTGATAGAGGTAGCAAGCAGTTACTATAGATCAGTTTGATCTGTTTGTCAGACCTAGCTGTCAAGCTAGCAATCATGTAATTACAGCCAGGTGTGTTCTAGCAGGTGTTGCTCTTTCAGGGCTTGTTAGAGATTGGCTGGGGTTTAGCATAATAGCTATCAGTTTAGTAAGCTGGAGGGGACTTAGTTCTCATAGACTAAGGCACGACATGCTGTACCATAGTCTGTAAATATCTCTGTATATATTCACCTTTATAACTATATAAACTCTCTGTGCACCTTCATAACTGGTCAGTCTCCTGCTTCTTATTTACAACACCCAATAGGTGATGCTCCCTTATCTTTATGTTTTATGTGCCTGACCTTGGTTCCTAGCTGTAACACCATCTCTGGGAAAGCAGGACCGTTACATTCTGGCCGGGCCCTTTGTTTTGCCTTGATTGGCTCCATGCCGCCCAGTGACCCCTTTGAACCGTGTATATCTGTTCACCCCACGCGTTTTGCTTTAGTCTTAACACAAAACCTGAAGCAGAGATGCTCTGCCAATACTGTATCCATAAACCTTCCTTCTGAAGAAGTGAGTTGTTGGTTCTGATTGTTGCAGGAGTCTGACATATACACAATTTACAATTTAAACAAAAGCATTCAGTTCCCACGGTTTACACCAAGTCTGAAATTCAACTATTCTCGATACACAAGTTTTATTTAAGCCAGAGGGAATATCCCGCACTGAACATGTCTGTCCAGATCCTCTGTGAACATGGCCTTACCCTCAGAGCAATTTTGCTTTTCATGGGAAGCAGAGTTGATGTTAAGAGGAGAAGATGGAATCTCTTCTGGGGAAGAAGGTGGGAAAAACACAGCAGTTAAAGAAGATGACCATTTTGGGGGGAGTTCAACCGTTTTGTCGGCAGGCTACCTAACAACTGTAAAATGTGCAAAGCTACAGCAGGCTCACAGTACACAAAGTGGGAATAAAACTGAAATTAGGAGGTACTCTGTAGCAGTATTCTAGATGGTGAAGAAGGAATCAGGGGCAAGTAAATCCTTTGGCCATGGCCACAGGAGTCGGGTCTGCCCTACCACCCTTCCTCACACCGCAAACCCAAAGCAAAAAGAGGTGATACAGAAGACACATTAAATTTCTACAGACATGCAGGAGTGGCAGTGGAAATTAACCACAGCAACAGCTAGGGAAGAGAATGGGCCAAGTAGATTGTCCCCCAGTGAAAGAAAAACAGTTTGGGAGTTAGGCAATTTGGATAAGAAAAGTTCAGGGCCTCCATGCCCTGTTGTTGTCCCTCCAGAGGAACTGGTTGGCCACTGTGTGAGACAGGATGCTGGACTAGATGGGCCACTGGCCTGATTCAGCAGGGCTCTTCTGATGCCCTTATGAAGACCTCGGTCTCTGTGCCCTGTTGTTGGCCCTCCAGAGGAACTGGTTGGCCACTGTGTGAGACAGGATGCTCTCAGCCTCCACCGCCCCAGCCGATCCTCTCTTGCAGCTCGGAGCCCAGTGGTATAGCTGAATATACCCGAATAAAAGCCAAAAAAAAAATATCCGCTTTTATTCAGGCTCAGCTATTTTGGTGGCCGATCAGATTCTTTGGTCTGCATTCGGCTTAAATAGCATGGGTATTTTTTTTCATTTCGGTTTATGCCGAAGGCACTCCCCTACCCAGGAGTCTTTCACCCAAAGCCCTGGAACTTTTCACTGCTCAGCGGCATGGAACAGTATGTTGGAACAAAAGTCCACTGACTTGGTGATGTCTTTGCACGCTTGAAGGGTGGTGCAAAGCTCATAAGATAAATAAAGCGAGACTGTAGTTGTACCTGTAGAAACAGGAGCATCATCCAGCTCCTCTGAGTCCTGCCTACGTCCCAGACCTGCTGAGTAGCTACGCTGGCGCCGGCTGCCAGACCGAGATGCTTGCTGGTGATTGTACGAGCCCCCTAAGAAAAAGCAACAAGACAGTCAGAAATCTGCTTCTTTTTCATTGTGGTCAGGGCTCTAGTCGGGGGGGAGCTCTCAGGTACGGAGCTCCGGAAGAGAACCTCTAGGGGGCGGGGCGGTCACGTGGTGAAGCCCCGCCCCCTTCTTTACCCCGCCCTCTGCTTCGATCCTCATTCCGTTTGGGAATGAGGATGAAGCAGGAGGGTAAGTAGCCGGGCCTTCTGACACACTTCCGGTGATGTCAGGGGGTGTGGCCTTCTGTCACTTCCGGTGATGTCAGGGGGTGTGGCATATGCAAATAAGTTATGCTAATGAGTTATGCTAATGAGCTCCGGCAGCTCTTTTTCTACAACAAGACCCCTGATTGTGGTGCAACATGAGGGCCAAACTAGCTGTTGCAGCGGCCACAGGTGTGACCTTGTGGCCGCCAATGCCATTTTAGAGAAGATTAGAGAAGATTTTTCCAGTTTTGGGCACCACATTTTAGGATGGATGTTGACAAGCTCGAGTGTGTCCAGAAGAGGGCAACCAGGATGGTGAGAGGGTTGGGATCCAAGTCTTATGAGGAAAGGCTGAAAGTGTTGGGTCTGTTTAGCCTGGGAAAGAGAAGGCTTAGAGGGGACATGATTGCCGTCTTCAAGTATTTGAAGGGCTGTCATGTAGAAGATGGAGCAGATCTATTCTCTCTTGCTCCAGACTGCAAGATTAGATCTAATGGGTGGAAATGACAAGGGAGTCGTTATCGGCTAAATATCAGGAGAAACTTCCTAACTGTCAGAGTGGTTCACCAGTGGAACAGACTGCCTCAGGAGGTGGTGGATGCTCCTTCGCTGGACGTTTTTAAGCAGAGGTTGGATGCCCATCTTTCGGGTATGTTGTAGTGCTTACTTTCAGCTATGCTCTTGCAGAGTGCAGGGGGTTGGACTAGATGACCTGCAAGGTCCCTTCCAACTCTGACATTCTATGATTCTATGATTTTGGCTGTTTAGTAGCAGAAAAGAGCAAGAGTCCAGTAGCACCTTAAAGGCTAACAGGATTTGTGACACGGTATGAGCTTTTGTGAGACACCACTCTCTTCTTCAGATCTGAAGTGATTCACGAAAGCTCCTCCCCTGCCACAAATTTTGTTAGTCTTTAAGGTGCTCCTGGACTCTTGCTCTTTTCTACTGCTACAGACAGACTGACATGGCTACCCATCTTGATCTGTCTTTGGCCATTTAAAATATGTTGCGAGGGCTCGATCCTGATTGGGTCCATGGGATAGGGGGACCAGCCAGTCTTTTATCCCCCACCCTGCCTCTTCAAGTACTGAAACCTAATCTTACCTAAAATGGCGTTGGCAGCTACAGGTTGGATCTGTGGCCGCTGTTAACATCCAGTTCGGCTCTGATTTCACAGAATCTTGCTTTCTGTGTGTTACTGCACAGTAATTTTATTGTATTACTAATACAGATTTTATTGTATTACTAATACAGATAGAGGAGCTGCGGTGGCTCAAGTGGTTAAGACGCTGAACTGCAGGCTGTGGAAGGTCGGTAGTTCAGCAGTTCGAGACCAGAGTGTGCCGCATGACGGAGTGAGCTCCCGTCTCTAGTTCCAGCTCCTGCCAACCTAGCAGTTCGAAAGTAAGAAATTGCAAGTAGATAAATAGGTACCACTACAGTGGGAAGGTAACAGAGTTTCGTGCGCCTTGGTGTTTAGTCATGCCAACCACATGACCACGGAAATGTCTTCAGACAGCGCTGGCTCTTCGGCTTTGAAACAGAGATGAGCACCGCAACCCTAGAGTCAGATTCGACTGGCTTTCGAGCAAGGGAACCTTTACCTTTTCAATACAAACAGATCGCATTCTGCATGTTTAAATCTCTTCCTGGCTGCTATCAGAAATCCTTCATTCCACAATCGGAGTCAGGTTCAAACTGATGGGGACATTCCAACTTAGGTGTGCAATTAAAATGCATCAAAAATATATTTGGTCCTAGCTATCTAGGACATCCTAGGAATGCATCAAAATGCTCAGGAAGTTACATCTACCTCTGGGTGTCTGTGTAGTAGCCTGGATAAACTGGGATGGTTCTCTGTAGCTGCTATTAAGAAAGAAAAACCTGGCAGAGACCACGAGTTTTGTTGTGGACTTATCTGATTTGGAAACTATTTGGGAACCTGTGTAGACTGTAACTCATGGAACAGATGAGGCATCTAGCATTCTCTTTTCTCAGGATAAACGAGTCCAACAAATGCTTGCTCCAGAATTCTCACCATTCTTGGAAGGAAAAACAAAATGTTATGACTGCAATCTGTCGGTCTCTCAAAATTGTGGGAGTCATCAAAAGCAGTTTCTAGGGCTCCTGATAGACTCAGAGCCAAGGAATTCCAGTACTGCCCGAAGACAAGCTGTGCGCGTCTATTTTATTTCAGTCCAGAAAAGAGATGATTAAGGGGGGGAACATGATACAGGTTTATAAAAATATACATGGGGTGGAGGGAGTTGACAAAGAGAAGTTTTTCTCCCTTTCCCCAAAATACCAGAACTCAAGGGCATCCAATGAAACTGATGGGCAGTAGGTTAAGGATGGACAAGACTAATTGACACAGAGAGTGATTAAAATGTGGAATTCACTGCCAGAGGATGTAGTGATGGCCATAGGAATAAACAGCTTAAAAAGGGGATTAGATAGAACACGTCTATCATAATATATAAGTCATGGAGGATAAATCGATCAATGGCTCTTAGCCATGGTTTCTGAGGGGAACCTCCACATTCAGAGGCACTAAGCCTCTGAATCCCAGAGCCAGGAGGCAACATCAGGGGAAATCCTCGGCGTCTATGCCCTGTTGTTGGCCCTCCAGAGGAACTGGTTTTCCACGGTGTGAGACAGGACGCTGGACAAGATGGACCATTAGTCTGATCCAGCAGGGCTTTTCTTGTGTTCTTATGTTCCAAGGATCTTTACCTATGCAGCGAACCTCAAGGGCTGAGGGAAAGGCTTCCTGAGTGGAAGAATCCACAGGCATCATGGAGGTATAAACGGAGGGTGTGTTACAAGCCTTGCTGGACTGGATGGCCTTAAGGCGGAACCTCCGTGAGAAACCTGGAAGGGAAAGACAGTCACACCGATGTTGATGTATTCATTAGAACATTCATACCCAGTCTTTCTTCATGGTTCAAATGAGCTCACCACATCAGTTTTAAAAGTTTCCAGTTAAACCAGAATAAAATAACAAGCGCCAACTCTTTTCTCCTCCTCCTCCCTTGAAAGATGTCAGGGGTCATTTCGTAGACAAAGAGGTGCAGGAGCTCATTAGCATAACAAATTAGCATAACTTATTTGCATAGGCCACACACCCCCTGACATCACCGGACGTGTGTCAGAAGGCAACACCCCCCGCTCAGGTTCCACTGGACTGTTTTGGATTGCTAGCTATTGGGGGGGGGGGTGGAACGTGCAGATCTGTCCTCGCAGAGGAGGGAGAGCTTGTCCCTGAATAAAACTTGGTCTTAAAGGTGCCACTGGACTGTTTTGGGCCGGGGGCCTGGGGGGATGGAGCTCTGCAGCTTACCTGGCTGCTTCTTGCTCTGACTGAGGGCTGCTGGGAGCAGGGGGTGGGGCTTGTTGCATGTGCCCGCCCCCTGGGGTCTTTACTGCCGGAGCTCCGCTCCTGTGTGCTCCTGCAGGAAATGACCCCTGCCTGCCATTCAAAGACCCCCTGAGCACACTTCGCAATCATGAGATAAGGAAACAAGTCCTTGTGGTTGTTCAGTCGCACAGTCGAGTCCGACTCTTCGCGACCCCATGGACCAGATCACGCCAGGCCTATTGTGGATTAAAAACCGGTTAAACAACAGGAAGCAGAGTGCAGGAATAACTGGACAGTCCTCATAATGGAAGGCAGTGGGAACTGGTATTGGGACTATTGCTATTTAATTTGTTTGTAAATGCTAGTTGTTGTGGATTTTCCGGGCTGCATGGCTGTGGTCCTGGCATTGTGGGACCTGACGTTTTGCCAACAGCTGTGACTGTAAATGATCTGGAACGGGGGTGTGTGTGTGTCAGACACACAAGATAGCCCAGGCCAGCCCGATCTCGTCAGATCTCGGAAGCGAAGCAGGGTCGACTCTGGCAAGTACTTGGATGGGAGACCTCCTTGGCATACCAGAGGTGGGAGGCGGGGGCAGGCTTTATTCAGCCACCACTCTAAATGTCCTCCAGGCCCCCAGTAGGGGTCAGTCACCAGAGGTCGCCATGACTTCCAGGTGCACACGCACACGTGTGAAAAAATACCCCCCGAAATATTCTTTTATTCTGCCCACCCCATTCCTCCAAGGAGCTGAGGTTGGTGCACAAGGGTCTCCCTTCATTATATCCTCACGATAGCCATGTGAGGTAGATTAGGCTGAGAACAAACGATAGGAATCAAAACGTAATGGTAGGTATCAAGTCGAAAGGGGAGGGGTGTTAGTGCGCTGCAGTGGTTAGCGCGTCGGACTAGTATGTGGGAGGACCAGGTTCAAATCCCCGCACTGCCGTGGAAGCTTGATGGGTGACTGTGGGCCAGTCACACACTCCCAGCCAACGCTCCCTCTCACTTGTGGAGCCTTGTGAGCAAAAATTCTACTTTGTGAGCCATTGGCCCTCAAGTTGTGAGCGAGCGATTTGGCTGCTGTGTAAACTGGTTTGCTCTGGAGCCGTCCTTCCTAAGCAATATGAAAAAATACAAAAAAAGATAGGCAAAGTTGTGAGCTTCCTATATAACTGCGCCACACAGGCATGGAAACTTGGTATGTTGCACCAAATCCAGCATCATTAGTCTACCACCTCTGGCTGTGATTTTTAATTAAAAACAACAGGTTTGTAGCTCCTCTGGCTTCAGAGATAAGCTTGAACATCTCAGAGCAGAACAGAGAAGAATTGTCCGGTGGAGAACTCAACGCTGTCTCTCTAACGGGAACCAAAACTAAACGCCGTCTCTCTAACGGGAACCAAACTAAAATTACGTTTTTAACAAAAACACATATCTACCAATTTGATTTGCTTGCAGGATTTGGCTCTTCTTGGCCCCTGCCACACGCAGGGGAAAAGGAGTGGCTTTTAAAAGCCGCGCCAATGTTGACACGGCGTGGCGGGATCTCACGGATCCCCCGGCCGCGCCGCCTTTTCTCCCCGGCGCGATCAAACGCCGGGGAGAAAACACGCCCTACTCGGGGGCCGGCCGAACTGCGCATGTCCGGGCATGCGCAGTTCGGATCCGGGCCGGGGTTGAGCCGGCGCAGGGAAGCGGCGGCGATCAAACGCCCCGTTGCTGCGCCGCTTCCCTTTAAACCACCTAGATAGGTGGTTTAGTTTGCGCCGGCTTATCCCGGGAAAGGGACATTTCGGCCACGGAAGAAAGACGCTTCCCAGATGTGGTGGTGTGATCGCGCCGGTTTGATCCGGCCCCGAACTGTCCCGCTCCCGGACCAAATAGCCGCGTGTGAACGGGACCCTTGTTACACAATTTGGATCTTTTTTTTTTCTTTCAGTAC